AAATTAGGTTTTTCTATTTCTCTATCCAGTAAGGAAAATTGTTGATAAGTGGAAAAATCATAAATGATAATGAAATGAGTTGGGCGTTACGGGGAATTATTTCATTGTGATACGTCTCGACGGAGGAATAAATTCGATTAGACCCACATTTTTTCACTTGCCGGTAACAAGAGAGGTCAAGATGATCACAAACAAGTCATGATGAACAGTTAAGTGTGGAAAGAGAGAAACAAATAATAAAATTCGTACGATTATGAACTCTAAGAAAACACTGTCAGCGATTGTGTTATATTCAGGATGTTTTTAGTTCACCGATGAATTCAAGGAGATTTCTAGTTAATTTTAAGACGTGTCCTGAAGTGACTGAAGGTTTTGACTTCTGGTTTTCAAAGCCATGTTTTGATCCCTAGTAGTTTCGGTTCATCTTTTCCATATCGTGCAGGTCTGTTATAGGTTTAGGAAAAATACCATCTAAGCAAATATGTAGAAAATAAACCACCATTACCTAACAAAGCCACTCAAAGGCACTGATACGAGGAGCCAAAGTCTTAAAAATGCCCATTTTAGAGGCTCACAGGTGTGGAGCGAGGTCATAACCACACACATGCATCCCTAACCTGTAAATGTTAAACACATGTGTGTCTTTCCAGGGACAGATGGTGGTATATTCCTCACCTTCCTCCACTTCTTTCTCTCTCGTTCCATTTCATAAAATATTACAATCACTCGCTCTTCTCTTTGCTTTCACACGCTCCCTCCCCATTCTCTCTCTTTAGTCTCTCCATAATGCTGCTGAAGAAAGCAAAGCTTCGACTGAGGAGGAAGGAGACTGTGAGAATGACTGGAGAGAGAAGAGAGTGAAGAGAGCTGAGGTCTCCTGATCTACAGCCTCCCACAGCTGAGGGTCAGAGGCCGACATGCAGGAAACGCTTTCAGGGACGCATATTCTTTAACACGCACAGGTGTGTTTTTATGTGTGCTACGTAAGCACCTCAAATACAAATCTTTTCTCACTCGTGTTCACTCACGTCTGATCTGACTAAATGCTGCTATCTTGGTCGGGTCATCAGTGCTCGGTGCATAGAAAAATACCACACTGATGCACTGAAACGGTTCTTTCTGTAAAGTCTGATGCAAGATTTGACAGAGGTTTTCAGATGTTTGAAAATGAAACCAATATTTAAGTCAGCTTCTGTCTGAAAAAGTCATCATATGGGGCCAAGTAATTTTACATGTCTACCAACAGCCCTAGAGTACTTGCACTTTGTCGAGTTAACCCTCTGAATCCCAAAACCGACTGGCAGGTTTGAAGGGCATGTCCTGTTTTTTTAAATCACCAAGAACACACCCTTTATCAGAGTCAGAAACTGTATAAGCAGAAAGAACTGTTGGATTTTCAACTTTCTGACGATCCTCGAACTAATCATATGTAACGTGCCGTACAAGCCTAGAATCAAGATTTTTTATTGATTTTTTATTTCACAAAGCTTTCAACTGAACTGCAGGCTGTGTTTACACTGTGCACATATCAAACAAGAATGGAAACAAATGAAAAATGTCAAAAGTAGAACACTATAGTACATAGAGTCACCTTTTTTTCCAGTATTGGTAACACATGTTGTTGCACATGGTCATTTCAGACTTCTACATTTTTTTGTAAAATACATGATCAAACAATTTCAGCTGTCTGTATTTATTTTATTTTATTTTTTTTACATGTTATTTTTTTTGGTCTTTTAATGCCTTTATTCCAGAGTTTAGTGAAGAGAGACAGAAAGTTTGGGAGAAGAGTGGGGGAGGACATGCCTGCACATTCTGTTGAGCTCCCGGGGCACCTGTTTTCTCTATTTCTATGATTTATGACATTATCGGTTTGTTATACTGCACAAAATACATTTTTGAGTTCGCTCTATGTCTAGCAATGTTGTGCTTTTTCTATAGAGGTGCAGGACTTTATATTGCAGACAAGAATGAGTCCACAGTGAGTAAAAATGTGTCATGAGGAAATAAAAACCACCCAGAAACTGCTTGGCATTCAGAGGGTTAAATGCGGCCGTCTCTTCCAAGTTCATCCGAATCAGTTTTCAGCCTGATTTACACACTTGAATGTGATCGCCTGAATCTAATCCCCTCTGTAGCACGGTACGATAGCGGTGCAAGCACAGGTTACCGCAGCATCTGAACACAAATTCAGACCAGACGCGAGGAAGCATTTGAGCGCGCCATCAAAAAACACTGACCTCCGAGTCGACGGATGAGCAGTGGTCGCCATAAAACACTCCAGAGAAACTTCAAAAAACTCTGGTGTGGACTGTTTGTGACACAGAAACAAGTGAACCGCTTCAAGAGACTGCAAAGAGGGGGTAGTGAGTAGCAAATCATGCACTTCATCACTGATTTACACTCGCTTGTAATTTCACACTGCAACTTTCTCCGTCCATCTGTCCGCTAGATTATCGGCGACACACTGTGCGCGTATATCATCCCGAAGAACATACTACACAAGTATCAGCTTACTTGATGGTAACACTGCAAACACACACACACGCAGGAATACGGAGGAAGTCTCGGCTGTGATCCATCACTGAGGGACTGAAAATTATGACACTACAGAGAGAAACGGGAGAAAGAGACCACGATTGGTATAAAAACTGCGTGCACACACACAGGCTCTGGCAGCAGCAGACAGTGGAGTCTCTGTGTTGTCGGTAACCACCTTCGAGACCCCGAGGTGTCATAAATGACTTCAAATAGAACGGAGAGGCAGACGAGGAAGGAAGAGAGAGAAGAGTGATGCTTGTTACAATGACTTCATTTGACACAGCTACTCTCTTCGCTCTTAAACACCAATTCAAACACTCTTTGGGCGCACTGATTTTTCCTTTTTCTGTACGAAGCCTATCTCGTGGAATCCTTTTGAGCTTCTTCCATCCATTAAGTGGATTCTTGGCAATATTCAATAACTGGAAATATTCTATTTTTTTTTTCGCCACAAAAGCCTTGTTACATTGTGTCTATTCAAGCGGTTTTAAGGAAGAAAATTCCATTATTACCATCAAAAAGGAGTTTAGTTAAAATCAAGGAGGGGAGGAAAAAAAAAACGTGAATATAAAGCTGTACAATCTCTCCTTGGTGGTGATTTATTGTGTGTCATAATTGTGTCAGTGTGTCTGGCGTGCGATGTGTGCGTGAGAGTGTTGATCACACATGTGCAGAAATAAAAATATATGCAGCTGCGTGAGTTGGGAGCTTAACAGATTGTTCCATAAGCTAAGGTGTCCTACATGCACTAAAGGTTGGTAAGAGTACAAACTACTGTAAATGCTTGCGTTAAAAATGAACAGATTAGAGTAAATGATACGTCTTTTGCTCTGGTGTACTGGCAACTAATCAAATATCCACTTAGTATAATATTAGAGAGATTGTTTGAGATAGGGAAGGCTAGATGGCTTAGAGAGTGTCAAAGAAAATAAAGACGAGGAAGGTGAAGAGGGGGGGAAGGAAAGGGTTGCTGTGTGTGGTCATTTCTCTTTTATTAAGCAAGTTAGTAACAGCGGTGCCACATTTGGACAGATGAAGAAGAAACCCACCAAACTCCCAGTAGGCTCATCCACTAAGGGGTTGGTTATTTCACTAGACCCACGAGAACCTTAACTGTGTGTGTGTGTGTGTCTCTGAGTGTGTGTGTGTGAATAGACCTCTGTGTGGAACCGCAGAGGCATTTGGTCATGTTTATATCCTTGTTATTGGCCTGGGTGAGTGTGTACATATCGGTGTGTGTGTGCAAAAGTGGGCTTGAACTCGTCCATACATACCAGCGGAGTGACGTGTATGGTTTTGTGTGTGTCGGTGTGCATATCTGCGGACAGAACATTTACATAAATACAAGTTCATAAAAAAGCCTTGTCAGCTGAGATTTGTCGGCGATCGGGCCTCGGTGTGTGTTTGTGTGTGTGTATATGTGTGTGGTGAGTGTAGGAGTGGTAGGTTAATCCTAAATTTACCCTCCGTGGTTGGAGGGCTGTGGTCACATCTGGACTCAGTTTCTCCCTGCTTCTCTTGTTTTCTCTGCTCCGCTCATCACTGCCACCTCACCTGCGCTACCCGTGTTTTTATTTACTTCTTTCCAATTTTGGTTCCTACGTTCCTCACTTCACTTCTGTCTTCATTTTGTGTGTGTGTGTGTGCATCACTTGGCCACCTCTGCTGTCATTTGGCCTCTCTGCTCCCTCTCGCTTATTTAAAGGTCCCATATTTTTCCCCTTTTCAGCAAATCACCGAAAGTCTTTCCCCAGAATGTATCCTTTAATTTTTCTGCTCGAAATACGGCAGAGATGCTTCATTTCACCATAACTGTATAACTCCTGGTTCTCGTCTTGTTCTAAATAGTCTGTTTTAGTGTCTGTAGCTTTATATGCAACTGAGCTGCTGCTGTAGGAAGAAGACTCTCTCTGCATCTGTGATTGACATCGCAGAGCAACACAGTTGACTGCACATTAGCTGACAGAGATAGGAATGAGTTTGAGACACCAGGTATTTTTATCGCTTCTAACTTTCTTTTTCTGGTGAACGTGTTAGACGATGGTGTGGTTATAAAATCAGGAGCAGCTTGGAAATGTCTCTGAAGTGACTAGCATGTAGTTTTAATCGGCAACAGAAACTGAAAATTATGTAAATGAGAACAGCCGTATTGGGAATTCAGCTGTATTAAAGTGATACGTGAGCACAGAGAGCAGGAGAGAAGCAAACAAATACAAACAGAAACACTGAGTTTAGGCTGCACTGACGCACAACAGTGAAATCACAGTAACCTCCACAGTCCTTGTTTGTAAAGTTTCTATCATCTCTGAATGTCCTTGTAGCTTTTACTTCACACCTTCAGGTTTATATCAACCACAAAATACACACAAAAAATGAATGTACATCATACCGGATCTTTAAATAACTGTTCCAAAAGTTTTCCTGCTGTTCCCTTCAATGTAAATGTTTGAGTGTGTTACCTGCTGTTTGAGCTGCTGAACCAGACTATCCTTCTCCCTTTTCAGAGCTGCCACCTCTTCCTGGGTTTTCTTCTTTTTGGACGAGGAGAGCTCCAGCAGGGCGATGTTGGCGTCTTTCTCACTTATGGCTGCCAGCAGTGCTTCTTGCCTGTATAGAGGATAACCACGAATGTCAAAATAAGTCGGTTTATTTAGCAATACTTTCATTATTTTTAGAAGCCTAATCAATTTCATCTAAATACATTTGTACCAAAACACACCAAAAAAACACTGTTGCATTTTTAATTTAATATAATTTTGACAAGCTAATTGCTTAAATGTATTTTCCCAGGATCTGAGATTGACTCATACTGCTTTTCCCACCGAAAAGTTGTGGCTGTAGGACTATGAAAGTGTGGAACCACACACTGGTGGAAATGGACCTTCAGAGGGACGTGAATAGAATTATGGCTGTGGTGCCCATACTCATCAAGAATGACATTTAAATAACTTAACATCATCACTTCTTTCTTGAAGCTGAAAATGTTTGTGGAGTATCCCGTCTTGCCAATGCCATTTTAAAACTTTAGGTGAATCATAGACAAAATTCCAGCCTTTTCCCTTGTTTTTGGGTGGATGCAGAACTTTTGGAGATGGATTGTCTTAAAATCTGACCAAATAAAATCATAACTCTGTGCATGGCTAGATACCAATTTGGGTGAGTCAACCCTTTAATTCCATGGTCTGTCAACAACCAGAGGGAACACCTCTTAATTGGTGCACCACATTCTGATTTAAGGGGATAAAATTGGCGTAGTTTTGCATACAACCATGGGGCTCCCTGATGGTGAGAACGATACACAGCATGTAATCAAGAGGTTCCCGGTATGATTATGGTGCAGCTCTTTAACACATATTTCTCTCTATTTGTTTCTTATCTCGCCACGAACAAAGACAAAAAAAATGGCATAAAAATCATGCTAGATTTATAAAAAAGCATGTGCTTTACTCTTTCTGCAGGTATAATTACACAATGACAAGACACATGACCACGGTTAAAAACTTTGATAATGTGGATGGTCATTCATTTCAGCTGCATTGTAGGATCAAGCAGGCAGTCAATGTGCTGTTAATGGACACTTCGGCTGAATGTATTTCGTCAGATTGGTGACGTGAATCAAACAACTTGGTGTTTAATGAACAAGTCATGAGACCCCTGTCTTCCAACAAAGTACAGCACATACTTGATATAAGGTTCAAATAAATAGGTAAAAAAAACATATTCACTTTGTCACTATGTGCACGCACAAAAGCATACATGCTTTTCATTCTATGTTTGTATCCTGTTCTCCAGCTTCTGTCTCCAGCCGTCTTGTCTCTGTCTATCTTCCCCTGCCTGGATAGTCAGGCTGATAGATAGATTGCATTCCATGTGGTTTAGAAGCAACAAGCCACATCCCATTCATCCCATCAGCCACAGATTGGGCTGAGATGCATCCAAGGACACCCAAGGTTGGGAATTCTCAGAATGACCTCTGTTTTCATTGAAAATCTAAATCACTGCTGCTATTTCACAATCCCACAAGGCTCAGTGATTGGCCACAAACAAACACACATGCATGTAAACACATACAAAAATGCAAACTTGGATATGAAAGAAATTATATATTTTCATTTTGTCGATCTGAATCTTGTTACAAATATGTAGTATATAGTATTTTCACAATCAGGTAAAATATCAAAAATGACTTTCAAAAAGGCAAAGCTGCAGTTTCTAGATCACAATGTTCACATTCTGGGCAGAGACGACAGACAGTTTGAGAATGGACTGAAGTAAGACATCAATGTTAAACTGCAACAACCATCTCTAAACATAGAAGAAGGTCTGCCACACCATTTATCGGGTACTTATAATGCAGTTTTGAGTTCCCTCCTCAGAAAGTTTCACCACCGTCATCCCTAATCCGGCAGTTTCCCAATCATCCACACCTCGAGGCAACTGAGTCTTGAGCCTTAATGGACCATTGGCCATGAGATTTGGGGGTGACAATTAGGGATGCCCTGTATCTTAGGAAAAAAAACTGGTGCTGACCATTTTTATTTGATTGGTGTTTGGCAGGAAGCTAAGACCAGTTCTCTGTCTACATCTGATGTAACAACAAGCTGCAAAAATGGCTAATACATATGACGCTGGGATACAAGACTATTGTTCTAATTCATCCGAGAATGACTTAACACTTGTGCACTGGTCTGAGGCTATAAAACCTCAAAGAAAACTTTGTCATGGTGCTCCTTTGCTAGCTAAACCCTACAATGCTCTCTGCTTGCCAACATGGAAGTGCCTACGTCCTTTGGTCCCTACAGTATAATACAGTAGGAATCTCCACCTGGTGGTGCAACCAGGTATTACAACTCATCTACTTTATTTTCAGTGTGTATTAACAAGGAAAATGGCATCGGGTATAGGCAGATGCTAAATATTAAATGACTCTGATTGGAACAGGAGTGATAACAACTTGATTGTGACATTCCCCATTAGTCAGTAAGAACTGAAGAAGCCTTTTGGATGAGAGGTGAAACATCTTCAAGAACCAAAAAGAGTTCAGTTGCATTCTGCTGAAACTCTTTGGATTATCATGACGCAGACGACTAAAAATGCCCAGACATGTGTGAAGATACGCCGATGTGCCACAATGTTACGACCATTTACAGATAAAGTCACGTAGGAAGTATATTACCAAAGCTGGCTCTAGCAGTCAACATGTTGGCTGTGGGAGAAAACTAAGCAACTTTGACAAAGGCCAAATTGTTATGGCCAGATGACTGGGTTAAAGTGTTTTGAAAACGCTAAGCCTTGTGGGGGTATTCCTGGTGGTGAGTACCACCTACAGACAGTAGCCTTAGAAAGGACAAACCCTGAACCAACAAAGGGTGCCGGAACAAGTCTGATCCATGACAGTTCCAACTTGTGCCAGATACCACAAGGTACCTTCAGAGGTCTTACAGAATCCATCCCTCGCCGGGTGTGGGCTTTTTTTGAAAGCATGGTAAAGATCAACATATTTGGTAGGGGTGGTCATAATGTCATGGTGCATCTTAGCTCACAAATATACATACATAAACACACACAGACATACAATTATCCAGATGCAGCCAGAAATCCACTCTGATGCAGACAGAGGTATGTTTCATTTACATTTTTTACATTCCATTCATCTTTGCTTTTTTTTTTCTTTCTCAACACACAATTACATTCTTCTCTCTATCTCACACACACACACACACACACACACACACACACACACACACACATGCACACACACAGATACAGCGGTGCAGCGAGGAATGCAGTGATGAGAGCATCTAAATGAAGACAGATTATATGTTTGGACTGTGTGAAGACTCACAGATTTTTTGGTCAACCTCACTGACCAATCTGTCAGTGTACAAATGTCCCATCATGCATCTGAGCTGCAGCAAACCTGTCAAGGGGTCGTGCATGGATGAGCAAACTGGTCACTTTCAGACACAAACTTATCAGTGAAAGACATTCCCATTTATGAATATAGGTCAAATATTTCAAGATATTAAAGATGTTTTGATGTAACAACATACATCTTTACATTCCTCTCATACCACTGATGATAAATGATATATGTTGACAAATAGTGCACATAAGATTAATTAAACTTAAATGCAGTCAAATGTTTGTTCTCGTGATTATAGTGAGAAAGGTGTGAAATGGAGTGTTGAAGAGTTGCTGACAGAAGGCGATTAAGATCTCACGCTACAAGCTAATGTTGGGTATCATTTGAGTTTCTTTAATTATACAAATAAAATACCTTAGATTTGTACCAATACCAAGACAATACACTTATTGATAACTTACTGAATATAGAATATAAAATAATCACTAAATATTGTTTTTTGTTTAAGCAAAATCAGCCAAACTTCTAAGTGCATTGGTATTTAATTTAGTCTAAAACAAAGCAGCTACAAGATTTTTTGATGTCTGACATTAATAAAATTATTAATGAAATGAGGAAATATCAAAACAAAGAACAAAAAGGGTCAAGACACTGACCCAGAATTGGATGCAAATGTTTGAGGATGTGGTAGCTGAAATGCATTTCAGGTTGCATGCAAAAAACGACAATGAGAAGAAGAAAGGTCGTCGACAGATTGGTTAAATAAAATGGATGCTTTTTCAATTAGCTCCTGGTTATTGGCAGGGAGCGGTCTAATTCTTCATCTGTGTGTTGATCAGTTACATACCTTTTAAACAAACACAAGCACATGGACTTCATTGCTTCAGTCCAGACTATGAGACACTGGAACAGTGTCACAGTCTTTCCGATTTATTTTTTGTACAAACACAGGTACACACACACTCTGACTCACATGCATGTAGAGAGGCTAATGGAACATTACTCTTGTTAAAGCTAACAGTGCGTCTAGTTTTATACCATATCTGAGAGTTACCTGCCAGCACAAGCGGCTTATAAACCCCTGGTGATAAAATGATATTTATTCCAGATGCACTCGTCTCATTCTGGGCCTCTCTGTGGCTCTGCCTTCATCTCTGTCTGACACACACACACACACACACACACACTTCGAGCGCTCTCTGCTTGGCCCTCTCAGCTTGCAAAGCTAAACACATGCTTATGACAAGTGCAGGTTGTGGCTACTGCTGTTGCTATGTAATCATTAAAAAAAAAAACTGTTTAAGTGCAGCACTCTTTTGCTAAATCTTTAGAAAATTCTACTGTCAGAGGGCACTTAAAACATAGTGTGCTCTCAGCACTGCTGGCAATGTGTCCTTATCGCTGAAAATAACAAAGAAAATGGAGCCAGCACTGAGAGGAGGAACGGTTCCCAGTGGATATGCAGCCTCAGATCTGTAACTCGCCTTTCAAGTCTTTCCTTTCAGCAGCAATATGAGGAACAAAGCAGGATAAAGGAAGGTCTACTAACAGTAACTGAAGAATAATAGGTTGTTAAAAAGGTTAGCGCTCACATACTTTCTTATTTTGGCAACATCTTTTGTCTTAAACGCTGTGATAATTTTGCACTGAGCATCCCAGAGACTACTTATCTCTGTGTGCAGTGGTGTGTTTCTATATATCTGTCTTAGGGTTCTGTGTTGATAGAGTGAAATGCATCACC